TCGCTGGCGCTTCCTGTAGATCTGGGAGGTTGGCAAAGTCATCCTGTTCAGCCAGCCCGATTGCTAGAGACAGAACAACCATCTTCCCCTCACTGGACACACACGCACACAGACAGACAGACAGACAGACAGGACATCACAAGACCATAGAGGCATGTGGGCAAATAGGCACAGGGGCACACACATCCAAAAAACACAAAAACAAGCAGCGACAGATACACACGGCACACAATTCATGTACAAAGACAGAGAGTGGGAGAGAGGTGGTAGATTGCTGTGAGGACACTATTATATTTCATCTTAAACATATGTTCAATCCAAACTGCACTTTTAAATGTCTCTCATCCAAACCTGTGAGCTACGAAGTGATACAAAGGCTCTTTAATAGGACATGAATGCTTGTATTCCTGACAGTTTTGGTTATCAAAAATGTAATTTTCTTGAGTGAATTTGGAAAACGCTTCATTTTTTAATGCATGACATGTACCTTTGTACATAACCTGACCCCTTATTCCAAATGTGACTGCCAGCTAGTTTGATGTGCATATATTTTTTTTACACTAATATACATTTTCTAGCCAGAAGAAAATAATACCTTGTTGGACAACCTTTAGCTTTGACGGCAGCATGCATTTACCATTACATAATATAAGGTTACACAATATCACTATATTTATTTCTGTTGAGAGTTGCATTAATTTACACAAGAGATGGATCGCTGTGTGAGGTTACGGTTCGGGCTCTGTGGTGGCAGATCCATGTGTAAAAATGATCTCTCATGTTCCCTGAACCACTCTTCTACACTTTGAGCCTGATGAATCCTGGCATTGTCATCTTGGAATATGCCGGCTCCATCACGGAAGAAAAAAATCCATTAATGGGAGAACCGGGTCATCCTGGTCTGGGGCTTATCTCATTTTTGGGCACCTAAGATTGCTGATCCTGGGCCTGACCAACTGAAGCAACCCCCGGCGATAACACCGCCCCAACAGGCTTGTATGATAGTCACTAAGCATCATGGGTGCATCCATCTGCCGCTCTTCTTGCCCTGATGATACCCTTTTCCCACTGACCCATATACATTTTTTTCTAATTAGCTTCATTGCTAAGTGTTTTTCTTAAGGTTACACAGCAATTTAGCCAATATAAGGCTCTCAGCTGAAGGTGGTGACTTATTATTGGTCTGGCAGTGTAGATTATGTGTGCTTGTTAAAGGTAACAAGGAAGCACCATTAATTCGGAACCTTTCATTGATCCCAGGTTAGTATTTATTCATTCTTTGGTTTTATTATCAGTGCTGTTTGTTACACAAATGATTTAAACCTTAAGTTATTAGGGAAGTTTTGTTCTTTACCATTAACTCATCGAGGCCGTGAGTTTGCAAAGAAAAGTCACCCGGTCTTTGAATTACATTAAAGTTTTGTAACATTTCAGATAATGTGTAATCCCTCTGATTGCCTAATGTACTGTATGCTGTAGCATTAGGATGAGTAGAGATTTTTTTCAGCCAATTTATTGCTTCAAAGCTGAATTTCTTCAGTTCATTAACACTGACACAACACTGCACTGACATTGTATATGTGGCTATCATTTACTATTGTTTTTGTTTGTTAGAGAATAACAAAAGTGATGTTCAACAACGAATTACTTTTGATAAATAAGTGGGGGCGATCACATTTTTTTAACACCACTGTATGTTGCCTCTGTGAGTAATAAATATGCTAATATTTGTACAGAAAACCCTAAAAGAAAGGTTTGGATTGTCTCAGAGAAAAACAGAATCACCTGAAATGACATGCAAATGACATGCAAAGGAAAAAGAAAAAAGAAAATCCACAAAAACAGAGGTGCAAGCATACCTGCAACAAAGAAACACAATGTTCATTTGCAGCTGTTATTGTCTCTCTAAACAAGCCTGAAATCATCCAAAATGCATTTTACTGAACAACACTGCGCCATGAATTCAAAGCCATGCAAACAGTGCCCTTAACAAATGAGCATTTGCCCACAACTAACCTTGTGATTCACAGTCACAGACAGTAAGTCACATGTATGTACATATTGTACACTCTTCTAGCTTTTTTTCTCAATACACCACATTTATTTTTCATTTTTTACAACCCTTTACCATAGCATGCATGATCCAAGGACAACCTTAACATATAGTATTCTTCGCCACTACCTCTTCCCTTAAAAGCCAAATCCAACTTCAAAACATGTTTTTTTTTCTGATGTCTTGCAGCCCTTAACATCAGCTGGCTTAGTTTTAGGCTTAGCTATAAAAGATTCAGCCTCACATTTATTTATTTATTTACTTTTTATTTGGTGGATTAGGTGCTGTCTTACGTTTATCTGAATGCCTTTGTTGTGAATAACAGATAGTGGTGGGTGCTAATGAAATTGCAGAGACCCAAATGTTTATTTTCTCTCAAAAATTGAACTGGAAAAGTTTAACTCCTGCAGCAGCGAGCCAGTCACGTTGGCAGCGCTGACTTCACGTGTCGACGTGCATGTAGCTTAGAAACATAAATAGATTTAAATAGGATCAAAAGATTAAAAAAAAAAGAAAGAATCCTATCTCCTTCCTGATGTTTCCAGTTTCTTCTTAGCTTTTCTCTGATCTTCCTCCTCTCATCTCTGCACATTTCATATTTTTTGTTCCCACTCTCTGGAGTGCTCCCGACCAAACAAGGTGCTCTTTGTTGAAGTAGTATTGACAACAAGAGGAACACATTAGTACTTGAGAGGCTGCAGCCCACTGGGGATGTGTAAACAGCATCTACATGACGCTCATCGATAAAGTGAATGGATTTATATAGATGACCAAAAAAAAGATACACGTGCTCCACGCTGAAATCATTGCCACCTACACCAGGTCTATTGATCGGAAAATGAAAGGGGAGCAGCTCAGATGCCACACTGCATGACAGGTATGGTCACAGCTGGAGGGTGAAACTGCTGCTTTTGCTTGTTTATACACCACTGATCACAAATGCATGATACCCACACTGCCCCCACCCACCTCCACGTCTCCCTCTCCCACCACCTCCAGGGTCAACCGCTGGCGTGTTTGGTCCAACGAGATTCACGAGGACAGGGACAACCACCTTCGTGTGCATGTGCACAGCCTTATTTGAATGATGATTCACATAGGCAGGGAGGTCAATAGCCCCGGAGACACTGCTAATGGGCGGACATGTAAAAGGTACAGAGCAAAGAGCTATGTGTATGGATGTGTGTGAGCATCTATGTTTGCGGTCAGGCGGGAAGGAGAGCTTTTACATGAGGCTGCTTTGCAGAGCACATCATCTGTAATCTATCACTCAAGCCAAGGGGTGGAGGAAGGCTCTCCATGCTCGGTATCAAAAAACAATCACTGACCATCGCACACCAGAAGCTTCTCTACTCAGTGAAGAATGAGTTGGAAAATTGGTGTTGAAAAATCACTCGTGACTTTGGCTAACTTTGCTTTATTTTTTTGTAACCCAGGTTGGGCTTGTTATAAGATTTCTGCTTATGATTGGATTTTTTTTTATCAGTCTGTCTTGAAAAAAACTTTAGAAGAAAACAAGTTTTGAAATCTGAATATTTAAAGATTGTTTATTTTATTGTTAGGCCTAACGCTATCCTGCGGTATCTGGCTGTTTTATACCACCTAAATCAAGACATAAAAGATGCACGTAATAGGGAAAAAAACAGAAGTTTGTATTTTATGGTACTGCTGTGTAGTTAATATATGCATGCTGTGGTGATGCACAGTTCCAGACCAGACAAGTTTAAATCAAGTTTGTTTTTCTTATGACCTGCTGGAATTACTATAAAAATATATTAAATATATGATAATAAACAGATGTTAAATCTGAACTTTTGCATGTGCCAGGGCTCTTTTTGTAAAATTTAAAACTATACACAAGTAAATAAACACAAATAAATGTAAATGGGAGCTGAAGAACATTAGAAAGTGATTATAAAATACCTTAAGAGAAGATAATATCACCTATTATTTGAGACATTTACATGATTGGCAATTAACAGCAATGAAAAACTAATATGTTAAAACCCTTGATGCCCGACACACACCTTTTCTACTACATGCATATTAATATCACTACACCCTGAAAATAATCATTTAAATGAGTCTCCTGGGGACAACCTCATCAAAATTAATAAATTGAAGTTCTGCAGAGACCGTAGAGGATTGCAGTTGATTTTGGTTCCATCCTGTGTAAAAAGCACACGCTTTGCCATTTTGTCACTTTATTAGACCACAGCTTATTCGGCAGCCCTTCAAGAAATCCCACACTCATGAAGAATCTCTTTCTGTTTCTGGTGCTTTATACTGAGAGCTTTATTTTGTCAGGCATGAGTGAAAAAAAGGGGGGCGAACAAAAACACCTCTCAGCAGCACTCAACAAGATTTAACAGCACCACGTTCCAGCAGTAGGATGCAACGTTTGAGTTACTTGTTTGAGTATTTAAAACTTGAGTGTGTTCCTTCTAATTGCCTACATTTCAGAAGGAAGTTTGATCCGCTACTTTTACGTACAGAGATGCTTTATTATCAACTTAACCACAAATGTGGTGCATTTAAAACAGTTCAAATTAGCCCCGTCAACCACCTGCAGCAGCAAAAAGCTATTTAAACATTAATGATATAGTGATAATTATGTATTAGTGCGACACTCACGGGTCCATTTTATTATTCCTGCTATACTTCTCTTGTTATGAGTAATATTAAACATTTATATTTCGGTACACTTTTGAAAGCAGAACTTTTATTTTACAAAGTAATTTCACATTCGACTATTTATACTATTACTTACAGGATTTGAAGACTGACAATGCCACAGATCACACTCCAGCACACAAACGATAATTTGAAAACTGAAGGCAGGATTTAAGAGACTACAATGAAATGGTGCACTAATTTTAATAAATTTGTATTTGCAGTGCTGCACATATGATCCTCAACTTTACTTATAGGAAAGTAAAGTACTTACAGGAACGACTTAACATCCAGACCTCGGGTTCGGATTTGCTCCACCATGTGGTCCCAGCTGCCTGGATTTGACCTTGATCGGCCTGTCCCTGTTCCTCTGTACCGGGAGGCTCCAGCCGGACTCCCCCGGACCCCCCGCGGGCCCCCACGGTGGCCCCCCCCGCCTGGGCCTGTGTGCAACTGGCCCAGACTCTGCGAGGTGACTGGGGGGTCGTTGGGACCCGGAGGAGGCTGGTGAGTGAGGGGCTGTTGGAGGCTCTGCTGCCGGACCAGGGGCCGAGGGCGCGCCACAGCTGAGGACGGGATGTGCTCCAGGGTGGAAGCTGATGAAAGGGAAGCGTCCCCAAAGCTGAACGGATACATGGGAACACCGAGGACAGAGATGGATACAAAAAAAAGGAAATAAATGGAGTTAGAGATACGTAATGGGAATATAGAAGAAAGAGCAGGCCGTTTTGAGATGAAAGGGTGAAAGATGAAAGTATAAAACAAATTTGTAACATGTTATTATGTTGATATCAAAAGGAAGAGAGGATAAAAATGGCCAAAACATACATAAGCACAGCACTGACTGAACTCTAGGAGTCTGCAGTGAATATCCAAGGGAGAGAGACTTGAGAGAGAGCAAAGATCAGTAAAGAAGGAGTTGCCAACAAGCTTGAGATACTTGTTAAACATCTGCAAGAAAACAGCTGTGCTGAATTTTTGCCTTATCTTGCCTAGCTGACCATACGTGTTTAGTCTGGCATACAACATATCATTCATATCCAAACTGGCGACTAAACAAACCTCTGCTTTTTGTAGAATCACAGACAAATTAAAAACCTGCAGCCAGTGACACTGGTCCCACTGGAAATGCACATTTTGCAGCATCAGAATGCCAAAATCAGGGTGTAGTCCTCTTTGCAGCTGTCCTTCAGGTTGATAAAATGACGAAAGCCAAACAAAATTATTTCACACGGAGTGACATGGGTGACTCTACATTGAATCTAAATGCCCATCATGCCAGCTGTTCCACTAACGAGCAGCTAGTGCTGTCTAATAAGCCCATTAAAAGAAAACACACGAAGGCAGTCTGTCTGTCTATGAGCAAACAAACTGATGAGTTGCATTCTGATGTGTTCAGCGGTCATAGTTTGGGAGATTTTTTGTTGTTGTGCGTGATGCATTCAGTGGGATCAGGTCTTAAAACTGCAGCAGAAATCTAGAAAGGGTGAATCTTCAACATAGACAGATCTCCTCCTGCAGCTCTTCCTTCTTGTGCCAACTCCCTCCCAGCAATCAAGCATATGAGCATTTGCTCACACAATCAACTCTGACTTTAAACTTCACATAGGAACATGAACCCAGCTCTCCCAGCTGAAAGTTCTCCAGTTAACCACTAATACCTCCAACATCTTAATTCTCGTGTGGACTTGGACTCTTATTCTACTTTACATTACTCCTGTGATCAGGTCTGAAATGATCTGATTGGTCCGGTCTCCCATCACAGGCTCGATTCTCCAACGTCTGATTAGAGCACAAGAAGTGCAAGAGTCTAGTCCCAGCCCCACCTAAGACCACTGTAATTACAATATACTGAAAGGTTATTAGGTTTTTTTCCCCCTTTTATGATTCTACAAACATGGTTCCTACCTCAGCGTTAAGTGGAATTAAATTGGAGCTTAAGGTATAGTAGCACTATCTCTTCACTTGAGACTCGGCTCTCCATCTGCAGTGCTGAATTTCTTTCTCTCCGTTATCTATCTCCCTAATTAGCCTTGACCTACTTCTACCTTCTTCCCTTTTGCTTCCACCAATCTTTCTCAAAGGTCCTGTCGGCTCCTGCTATGTTTTCACTCGCAGCTCTTCCTTTTACCTTTGTGGTTCTCCTCTGCCTATTCATCTTTTCTTTACCCTCAGCCCTCACATCACTCTATAGCCACACCACCTCCAATCACCGTTCCTTAAGTCTGCCCTCTAATTACAGGTTTGCTACTCTTACAAGCATGTAATAGTGCTTCACCCCTTATCCTCCCCTCAATCACTGCCCTGCCTGATGACTGTAAGCTTGTGCTAAACAGCTCTGTCTGAAGCTAATGCAGTGAGGGAGGATTTACTGCCTGGACTTGAGTTGTGTACAGCAGCGCTCTTTGGTATTACCTCGGCTCTGACTCTGTTGGAGAGCCAGGAGACAAGCACCCTGAGGAGCAGTGCAATGCTGGATCAAGTAAATACAAGACAGGGCTCATATACATGCTCTGGTGCATGCATGTTTTCTCCCATACAAACGCACACGGAGCACACCATTAGATCTTTCCTGGGGAGAGACTTTGATGAGTGTGTTTGTTTACTTGTGCCTAATATTCGAACTGAATAAATGTGAATTAATGTATAAAAGTCATTTGGCGGATTTCTGTTGAGCAGAATTATACGGTTTTGAAGTGGGAGGAGGGCATTTGGGGTTCCAGAAGTTTGACTTTTTAATTTATTTTCCTACACAAACAGCTATGGGCAACTGTTAGCAGGAGCACTTTCATGGCTTGGATTATCCCAGCTTGAATAATCAGTGCAACAGGTGAGCAACAGCAATCAGGAAGTCCGATTTTTCAGTAAAAAGTCAAAAACTATGACATAAATCGACGTCATTAGGGCAAAACTGTTTTGAAGATATGATCATCATTAGAAGAAAAAAATATTTAGAGCTCTGATCAGGAAAAATAGTTTCAAGCTAGATGTTCATGTAAGAAATATGAACAACTTAAATCTTAACACAAACAGTTCACACAACCACTCATCCAAGCATAAACATGAAATAACTAAAATATAATCGCACAACTTCTAAATTAATCATTTGAACCTAAACATTTAAACTTTTATGAGTCTTTGTACTGAGCTACACAGTCTTTGTACACCAAGACTATGTAGAATATATATTTTTAATAACAGTACACTGTTACAGTAGATCATCCCTTTATATGTGCTCTGATAATTTTAGCTTCAATTAATTTAAAACCTTATGGATCAAGTTTACTTCACGTAAAGCATTTTTTACTATAGGTAATGTATTTTATAAGGATTCTTAGCTTTGATGAATTTGATTGTCTGGCTGTGTTTTACTCTACAGGATGCATTGTTCCTCAGATAAAGGAATTGGCATGTGGCAGGACAGGTGGGCAGGTGTAAAATGGGATGTTAAAAGAGGAAATTGATGACCTACGTTATTGCTGCATGATGATTTGAGCAAATGAACTAAAATTTGCAGCTAACTTTGGTATAGCCAAAATAAGAAGGTGACTTAACACCTTTAACACCCCTATATTCACCAGACACTTCATTAGTTACACTTTTCTAGTAATGAGTTGAAGCCTCTTTTGCCCTCATAAATGCATAAATTCTTGGTGGCACAGGTTCAATAAGGTGCTGGAAACATTCCTCTGAGATTCTGGTCCATGCTGGCATGACAGCATGTCAACATTCACTTGTGTGAATCTCCCATTTCACTACAACTCAAACGGGCTCTATTGGATTGAGATCTAGTGACTGTAGAGGCCATTTGAGTATACCATTACTTGATAGGCTAGGCTAACTGAGGCCACTGATGGTACTGAAGGGCAGAAAATGCGTATCCCCCACACCATTACACAAGAATCAGCCTGAGCAACCGATACAAGATGTGATTTTTCATATTGTTTATGTCTAATTCCGACCACACTGTCTAAAAGTCATAGCAGAAATTCCAACTCCTCAGGCCAGGCCACATTTTTCCAATCTTCTGTTGTCCATATTTGGTCATCCCATGAGAATTATAGTTTCAGCCTCTTGTTCTTAACTTGTTCTTGGTTCTAAATTTCCCACGTGTGGGACTAATAAAGGTTATCTTATCTTATCTTATCTTTACCGCTGTAGCCCACCTGCTTCACGGCTTGTTGTGTTGTGAGGTCAGAGATGCTCTGCTTCATACTTTGATTATAAGTAGCGGTTATTTGAGTTATTGTTGGCTTTCTATCAGCTCAAAGCAGTCTGGCCATCCCTCTCTGACCTCTGGCATCAACGAAACCTTTTCATCTAGGGAACTGATGTTCACTGGATACTTGCTCTTTTTCTGACAATTCTCTGTAAAAGTCTAAAAAGGTTATGTGTGTTCAAAGTTGCCTAAATTACCTTTCTTCTAAATGCTCAGTCTGAACTTTAGCATACTCTGCTTTGCTGCCATTTGACCAATTGATTAGATATTTGCTTTAATGAGCAGTTAAACAGGAGTACCTAATGAAGTGTCTGGTGAGTGTGTAATACCCATTATTTTGGGGGGTTCAATAGTCACGTTATCATAGCTGACATCATGAAAAATCAGTATATCTTGATGGTTTAATGGTGACATTAAGCCAGATGTCTGAGCACATGCCGTATTACCTGCTTCAAGTCTTTTCACTGTCTTGAGTTTGACTAATTTTATCATTTGAAATATTCTAAGCCCTTTTCAAGTGGTTTCCCTTAAAATTGTGCTTTCAGGTACTGTACATCATTGCTGCCTTCTTTATCGGCACGGTGGCACCAGCCACAGTCATTCATACACCCTGAGCACGGTCCCTTTTTATCTGCTGTATCCAATTACTGACTTAGAGGGTTATTTTCACATTTCTTCTTGCTTGAAAGTCAATTAAGATGACTATAAACCTTGAATGATTTCGTAATTAAGGGAAATTGAGGAGGGTGAAAAACAAGGAGAGCGAGAAAATATCAACAGTGAAGGGTGAAAGATCGTATGGCCGAGAGACGTAAATGCTCAAAAATAGAAACCAATTCCAAAGGAGAAATGGAAATACAGGTGGATTTAAAAAGAGCAGGAAAACAAAACAGAGGAGTGATAGGAGTAAAGAATAATGTGGTGGGATAACTTAATTGTGGGGCGATCATGGCTCAAGAGTTGGGAGTTTGTCCTTGGGCAAGACACTTCGCCCGTTGCCTACTGGTGGTGGTCAGAGGGCCCGGTGGCGCCAGTGTCCGGCAGCCTCGCCTCTGTCAGTGCGCCCCAGGGTGGCTGTGGCTACAATGTAGCTTGCCATCACCAGTGTGTGAATGTGTGTGTGAATGGGTGGATGACTGAATGTAGTGTAAAGCGCTTTGGGGTCCTTAGGGACTAAGTAAAGCGCTATACAAATACAGGCCATTTACCATTTAAATTCATGTTTATATCAGTATACTATTTAAATAAAGGTCACTCAAACATAATGCACAGACACAAGAAAGCACAATTTCAATAAATGCTGCGAGGTGAGGAAACAGAACCATTGTCCTACATTTAGGGCATGTGTTGTCTAATTGGTGAAGATGTTTTCTTGGTTTGCTTGCAAATTGTTTATTTGCCTGTGTTTTCTTGCTGTGCACTGAGCTCTCCAGTTCCCTAATTTTCATTCATCATTTTATGCATGGAGGCAGTTTCTATTATCTTCAGTCCAATCAAGAGGCAAATATCAATTCTGAAATCACAGTTTTGCTTCCTAGTTTCTAATTAATCTATTCTATCAGAATAACAGCGGCAGGCAGTATTATGAAGAGTTAGCTAGTAATGAAGGAATTGTGACTGAGTGGAGAGATGGCTTTCATCTACTGTGCTGAACGCTATTGTAGAGCTCCACTTATTAATCTATTGTATATTACAGAGTACTGCTCTTAATTCAATGATCAAACTGTTTCCAGGAGACCGTTTGATTCACACATGTTATTGTCATTATATCTTGTATGTGCTACAGGTGTTGAAAAAAAATTCAGCTTTCAGCAACCAGTTTGTTTGACAAATTATAATTGCAAAAATTCACTTAATTGTAGTTTAGAAAGCACTATTTGTGATGATTTACATTGTTGGATAACATGCATTTCTTTTTTAAATGTTTTCTCACACTTACATATTTCACGTCATCAAATTTGCAGTTTTAAAATAGTGATTTCGTTTACTAAGGTAAAAAAAGGGGTCCAAACCTACCTAGCCCTGTGTGAAAAAGTAACCGCCCCCAAGATATCACTTAAACCTGTCTGACACGACCAAAAAAAACTCAAGATGTCAAAGTCATTGACATCTATCAGTCTGAAAAGGGTTACAAAGCCTTTTCTAAGGCTTTAGGAATCCAGTGAACCACAGTGAGAGCCATTATCCACAAATGGAGGTGCAAGGCTTGCAACAGTGGTGAACTTTCCCAGGAGTGGCTGGCTTACCAAAATTACTCCAAGAGTGCATCAACGACTCATCCAGGACTCATTGCAAAAAACCCAGAACACCAAAGTGCAGTACTGCAGGCCTCACTTAAGGTCCTAGTTCATGATTCACAAAGAGACAGAGCAGAAATGGCACCCAAGCAAGAGTTCAAAGGTGATAACCACTGCTGAGCAAAAAGCTTGTCTCACATTGGCCAAAAAATTTAAGGAAAATATTCTGTGAACTGACACAACAAAAGCTGAACTTTTTGGATGGTTTGAATCCCGTTACGGCTGATGTAAAACTAACAGAGCATCTAAAGAACATCATATCAACAATCAAACATGGTGGTGATAGTGTGCTTGTCTGGGGCTGCTTTGCTGCTTCGGGACTTGGACGACATTCTTGATGGAAATGTGAATTCTGCTCTCTGCCAGAAAACCCTGAAGCACAATTGTCAGCTGTTAGTTCATGCTCTGAAGCTCAAGGACACTTGGCTTATGTGGCAGTATAAGTCAAGTTGTCAGTGTCCTACTCAAAATCTGGACTTAAATCTGATTATGATGCTTTGGTATGACCGTTGGAAAACCCTCCAGTGTGGCTGGATTACAAACAATTCTGCAAAGAAGGGTTGGCCAAAAGTCCTCCACAGGGATATAATAGACTCATTGTCAGTTATTGCAAATGCTCTATTGATTACTGAGAGGGGCACAACCAGTTATTAGGTTTAGGTGGCAATTATTTTTTCATAGAGGGTCAGGCTGGCTTGGATAGCATTTTTCCCTTAACATGAATTTTGTTTTTACTCTGGTTATCTTTGTCTAAAATTAAAATTTCTTTGACTATCTGAAACTTGTAAGTGTGTCAAATATGCCATAATAAAAAAATAAAAGGAAGAAATCAGGAAAGGGGCAAAAACTTTGTCATAGCACTGTATAGTAATGACTAGTGATGTGCGGATCGATACTGAAATATCGATTCCTCCGATACCAGTCATTTATGTTCCAGAATCGATACTCATATTAAAATATCGATATTTTAGTAATTTAGGGTAAATTTGTAGGTTATCATTAACAGGAACAGAGTGGAAAGAAACTGTATCATTTGGATTGTCTACATTGGAAGGAACTACTTAGTCTTTCGCCTGTCATAGTCATGTGCGAAGTACGTCTGTATAAATGTGTCCAGCCCCTGGGTGTGCACACTCACAACAATGGCTGAGCGTAAATGGAGTCATGTGCAGACGTATTTTACTTCCACAAAAACGGTTGAGACGTAGTTTGCAATACATGTGGCGAGAAAGTGAGGTGTTGTGGCAACACTACTAACCTCATCAAGCACTTCAGAGTAAATCATATCACAGAATATGACGAGCTTATGTTGAGGCGAACTGAAGAGGAGGACAGGGACAGGTGCTGCTAGGGCGAGACAGACTCCTCTCATAGAGTCCTTTAGTGCTGCAGGCAGGCAACATGTTCAAATAGCGCACAACTTCAGTTTTTTTATTTCTATATGATAACTGTGCATTATTAAGCGATAAGAACAAGTAATCCGATGTCCTGTAATCATTATGACGCTATAATTTGAGATACAATAACTGAAATACGTTTTTGTACAAAGTATGGGTATCGGATCAGTATCGTCGATACCACCCTGAATTTTACTTGGTGTCGGATCGGAAAGGAAATCAGTGGTATCGCACATCACTAGTAATGATACCAAATCATAAATCTTTATCTCTGCAACGAAGCTGTTACATTAAGCTTGTGTGCTTTTTTTAATGCCACACAATGAGGGCAGCTGTTAATTCCATCCATTCATTTTCTTAACCACTTATCCAAAGAAGGGTCACAGTGGGGCCTGGGATGAGTGGAAGAATGTGTAAAGGTCACACAGAAAGGTTATAGCTAGCAAATAGCTATCCTGAGTCTATTTTGTATTTCTACTTCAAAGTTTTAGAAACTTGGGACTGTTTTGGTTAACGCAAAATGAAGACTGGGGCCATCCTGTGACTTGGCCCTAGTCTTTACGTATACATATTTCCCTTTGGTTTCTGAGAGATAACATCCTTGTGTTTGTATTTACTGTATGTATTTACAGTTTACTCACACTGACTCTTTAGCAAAAAAAGAATCCAGTTTTCAGACTTTTGCCCTGATTAATTAAAGGGAGTTTCATGTCAACGCAAGCAATAAACTGCTCAAACTTTGGGTAACTTTTACTACCTAGTCCCACTATGCAGCACCGTTATCGAATGATGTTGTTTACAGTATCATCTTATCATATTCATCCAGAAGTTACTAACAGAAGGTTCATTTGTATCACTAGCCCGGATAAAACTGCTCTCCTGCTGTTTATCCAGCAACCCACTCAGAGTTTAAAAAGCTGTTACTTCAGACGAATGAACATGTCGTTTCTGAAGATCTTCAGAGAGCATCTGTTTTGTCTGAAATTCTTGAAACTGTTACAGCCTTCAGCAAATTGGAGCCTGCAGAGGAACAGTACGGCTGCGTGAATTTGCTTTGTCTGCAACATCACTTGGTTGGCAGCTGACATAAAAATGGCATTTGTTTATGAGTGAGGAACCTCTCTGTAGCCAAGAGGTTTAAACGGTTACTCATGCATAGCAGGTGCATTCTGCAAAGCATCTTCTCTTTAAAGCCTGCTTTACATTGTCTTCACCTGCACAGGGTTTCAAATGTGTAAAAAGAACAAAAAAAAGAGTACATGCAACTACTCCATCCATGATATTTTTACAGACTCACTTCCTTGATTGCCACACCATGCTGCTGTTGTGCCCACTGTAGCCCCTTCATGCGTGCCCCATGTCACCATGCGCCACTCACTTGCTAAACCGCAGGCCTCCGGCATGCATGTGGCTCTGGACCGTCTGCCAGCGCCCGGCCTTGCTGCCCCCCGTCACCATGCTCCGCACGCTGTCGCTGCGACTGGGCCCTGCCCCAGTCCCAGAGCAAGCACCACCCCCGCTGTCACTGGCCCCCGGTGAGGGTCCAGCACCACCCTGCCCACCCTTATCCACAGCCCCACTGGGTGGAACGGTGGGGTGGGTCGTAGACAAGGAAAACACGGACAGACAGACCCACGAGAAGGTACAAACAAAACAAAAAAGAGAGAGATAGACGAGAGACAGACGCACAGAGCCGGAGAGCAAAAGTGTTATGAGTTAGTCAAATCGATGACTAAGACACTTCACAGGCACTCAGTCTAGCCACAAGTGTCCAGTGAATAACAAAAACTTGGAAGAGCAGCTGCTCGTCACCAATGCTTTGACTAAATTGGAGAGGACAGTCGTCTCACTCTTTGGGGACTAAAAGGGGGCAAAACATATTTACAATAATTCAGTTCAAAGCTGCACAAAAGCTTACTCTGTTCATTGTAAAATATGTTATTAAAGCAACTTCTTAATGTCGAATTTACACAGATTCTCACTAAGTGTGGAGTGATATTCAGAAAACTTTTGTTATTGTAGCTGCTCAGTCCACTATATCCTAGTTTAAGGTAAGAAAAGGACCACAAGAACCCGACATTCTGCCCATTTCACTCATACATGTACACAGCAGTGACCAAGCCGCTGGCTCTCGGAGGCAGGCATAACAGCTGAGAAATGATGCAAATGCGTCATTTTCACATTTTAAGACTGCAAGGTATGAAAACAGAATGCTATAGTCTGTTCACAAGAACTCGCCTGCAGCACTTTTATGCATTTGCATAAAATATTTCACTTAATTTGCAAATATTCCCATTGAAATAAAAAAAAAGCATTTCAATATAAAGTGTCCTCTTTTCTTCTCAGCATGCCACAAACCCAACCCCAGCTGACCTGGACTCGGATGTCACAGAGACGAGTACAGACAGAACGCTGAGATCAGTACGGGACCTTTTGATTGAGGACAAATCACACGACACACAGGTGAACAACAGGAGGGCGTCCACAACGACATTCAAGCATTAAGTGTAGGCTGACAGTTAAGTGAATGATTGTGTTTGCAATGATGAATGTGATATAATTAATCACAACTTGAATATCATTACTTGAATAACATGTTCTTTTTCGTGACTTCATCCCTTTTTTCCTTGCTTTTAGATATAATTTGTCTGAACTGTTTCCAAACAGTAATTTTCGATTTACCTCAGAAAGACACCTTTGAAAGCTGCTAAACAAACTTGCTTTGTACAAAGGAATCGCCACAGTAAGAACTATAAAATAGCTCAGTGATCCACTATCACCCTATTCAGAAATCTCACCATTACCATCTTATCAAATGCCACACAGAATTAATCTTGTCAATAACATAATGAAATGCAATCACAACAAAAGCTATAATCACTGCTGTTCGCTGAATTTAAAAATAATTTCAGCACCACTGCACAGACACCAAATAACTGAGCGCCCGGTGGTTTTGAAAGAGTCAAGTGAGTTATAATTAGAGAAAATAAGAAAGAACAGGTTCACTTAATGCCTCAGTGACTGTGTGAGGTGCATCTAAATGATGGAATGGAGGTTGATATGAAACAGACGTTGCACTGTACACCAAGGATACAGTGTCACTATTTTTGGAATAAGGCTTAGTAGACTAGACTCAGGAGGGCTATCGGGGAGGCTTAAAGCACTCAAAGTACTATGAGTGATAGTACGAGTAGTGACAACAAGCAGAAAACACAGAAAGAGTGAAGGAGAAAGGGGAGTGGGGTAAAAACACGTAACTTTACACTCATAAAACCCCCCAAAACAAAACAGTGAAAAAAGTCAGACCAAAAACCACGTCATTAAAGGAACAGATGGACATTTTGAGAAATACAATTATTTGTTTTCTGGTGGAAAGAAGAAAGTACCACCCTCAGATATTGAATATAATACTGAAAGTGTGAACTTTCACTTTTCATTCAAGATTTGTAACAAAAATTTAGAATTAACTGTTCAGGAATTGCAGCCATGTTTACACACAGTTACTCATTTTCAAGCTACAAGCTAACATTATTTAAATATAAGGATTGTTTTCAGTAATTAGATGAAAGAACCCATTCATCCCTTGAGATGCTCTTCCAGGCCTTAACTGCTGCTACTTTCAGTTGCTGCTTGCTTCTGGGTCAGTTTTGTCTTCAATAACTGAAAAGCTGCTCTGCTGGGTCGAGCTGATCTGGGCATTGGACTGCATTTGAGCAGTTTTGCAACATTTGGAATTAACTGTTCAAAGAACTTTTCCTGTTTTTTTAGTGTAACCAGTTCACCCATTGTTGTAAGCCTTCTGCATTTACATTAATGAAGCTGCCTCTTTATTTGATGCATGTTCAATAATCAAGGAAATCCGATACAGTTTGGTTTGTTCATTTGGGTATAGCTTTTCACTTCTTCTTCAGCGGAAAAACTGAGCATAATATCAACGAGTTGGTGTTGTTACTATCCTCCTATCATCATAACAATTGTAGTCCAGAATCAACATAGCAACTGACGAGTCACAATGTCTTAGCATTAGCCAAAAAAATAGCTAACGCTATTAAAAACTATCACTGGCATACTAATATCAGTAACATAAATCTGGCTAGGAAAGCTAACTTGATAATATATTTATTACACTGTTCAAATTAATAAAGAAAACACTGGAAATGTTTATAATTTTTTTTCATGAAGAGGGTTTTATATTAACAAAAGCTTCTTTTTTCTTTTTGCTCCACATTCCAAAGTTATGACATCACAACAACGTGATTGGTCAGATGCAATGTTGATCCTGGACCAACATTACAACCCGATATTACAGATATTACATGCTGGTCATGCTGGTCCACTGCGTCCATTTCACGCTTTGCCTCTCCAAAATGTGAAACAGACACACATGCAGAAGTTGCAGTAACAGCAGAGGGAAACATTTTATTTCAAGCCCACATGAAAATAATCACAGGAAAGCGTTTTATCAGACATTATGAACGCATTTACATGTAAATACATATTAGCCGCACAGCTTAATCGTTTCTGGCAATTAGGCACCCTGAAATGAACTTCATACATCATCTCCGCTGGTAATTCAACTTCTGCATGCACAATACAACTTCTGCATGTTCACGTTTTGGAGAGGCAAAGCATGAAATGGACAAACTGGACCGGTGTGCCTATTACATGTTTTGCTGAAGAAGTCACTTTTTCTTCAGACCTCTGAACTCAAGCTAATCTGACCACATCTTGACTGCAGATTTATATTTAAAGGGGATTTACTATTTTGCATGCTACACCCCAAAGTAATCCTCCCTTGTTTATTTATTTTTTACTGGATTCTGGTGCAGCCCCTTAGTTCATTCTCAGTTTGAAAAAAGAAGCTTTAGCTCTTAATAAAACATACTACATGAGTAGTATCATGTCATGTCAGCCAGAAAGCAAATAATCATACTTCTCTGAATGTCAAAGTAATCCTGACAAAAACTGAAAAACTCATTTTCTTAGTGCACTACGTTCAACCCTCTGTGGATGTTGGTTATTTATTACACAATCCTGAAAAGAAGATTTTAATATTTGGCGTTGAGTGCCCTCCCCCCAGTACCACAAATGGGGAAAAGTTTTGTTAAACAGTGGGGTCTTTTCTCTGAGGGTTGTCCGTCTCCATGGTAACAGTCCATGGGCTGCAGGTGAGAGGTAGGGAGGGTCTACCGAGGTGAAGTTAGCAGGGCTGTAAGCAGTGGAGCTATCAAAGACATTCATTTGTACACGCTGTATGTGATTTAAGAGCAAACTATACTGTTGCTTCCCCAGTTTACTCTTCTGTATTGTTTTAAAGACACAGGGCTCAAACTCCTATACAACTGCAGCCTTTCTGTCTGAAAGCAGCAGTTTGGAAATTGTGCATAATTTTAGTTAGTGTCAGTGCAGCCCAAGGAATCACAGATATTAAGGGATGGTGCTGCACATCTCTATCAGCTGCTGCATGGCCAGCAGTGCATACTAAACACCACCTCACTGTGGACATGCCTGAATGCAAAAACATGAGGATTACCGGGGATGAGGGGAGAATTCCATTTAAAAGATATGTGATCTGACAGCATTACAAAATCAGGCTTTCTGTTTCCCTTTAGGCCAGGGGTGTCAAACTCAAATACACAGTGGGCCAAAATTCAAAACTGGAACAAAGTCGCAGGCTAACGTTAATATTTATTGAAAAAAAATCTTCCTCTAGATATAAGAATGAATCTTTTCTTATGGACTCAAACAAGTTTTGATGAAAAACTGAATATGGAACAAGCAAAGCTTAATACTAAACAATATATATATTAGCTGTATAATACCAGTAGGCCAGCTCTAATAGTAATTTGGTATGGCTTCGCGGGCCAAATGTAATTAGGCTGCGGGCCAAATTTGGCCCACGGGCCAGAGTTTGACACCTATGCTTTAGGCTATTAAATGTGACCTTTTCACTGCTCTGAGTTGTGTATTGATCAGCCTTTGATTTGGAATATTTTTGTGCTATTTGTCTCATACCTATGACCTCAAAGAGATAAAAGATTTTATTATGTTGACCACTCCTACAGCGTTGTACAGAAGCCCCTGTTTCATTACAGCCCTGCCCAGACAGAGGAGTCCCTTACCAGACATGAATGAGACTCACTTGGGCGTGAGGCGGGGGTCTCCGTAGGGTGCATAGGGAGACATGTTTAAGAGGAACTCCTTGGGTGGGTAGGAGCTCCACCTCTGTTGGACATTGCTGCTGTCATTGTTATTCCAAAAGTCTCTGTCTAGATCGCTGTAGCCAGAGAGAAAGCAAAAGGTGAGACAGGTGAGAGCAGTAAACAATCACAGACATATATAAAGAAGAGAAAACAAAGCAGATCTCGAGAAATGTTGATAAATAAATTAAAAAGAAAATCTAAAAAGAAAAATACTCTTTTTAAATACTTTTAAAATAAATTTAACATGAATTTGGCTACAGGATGACTACAAGTTTATGGTCACCCAGTATCATGAAAAGTAGGTCGAAACGCTCAGAAAGGAGGATGGAAGGACGTGACCTGTGTGTTTTATCATGCTGTCAATGATGAGGAAACAAAACAAAGGAGATAAGGAGGCAAGGGAGAAAAGTCAGTATGAATTTAAAACACCAAAAAAAAAACAAGTCAGGTATGCACTCAGAATAAAAACGTCAAAGGAAATAGCTCAAAAAAGCTAATAGATTTGTGGCAAGCTGTTAGCGTCGCCCTCTTGTATTCAATAATGCTTAATTATATTTGAAACAGGGGCAGAAGTATATTCATAGCTGTCGATATCCTAATCTTAACAATTAGCTTAGTGTGCTTATTTCTATTTATTCCAACTAGAGCAAACGGTGAGCAGGCTGTTGCTATGTCAAAAAATTGGGGAGGGGTTTAAATATAAGGTAAAGACCATTTACCATAATGCAGCCTTTGATTTACATCAGCAGACCAGGAGGTCAGAACATGATTTTCAAAGAGTGATCTAAAAATAGCAGCAATGTTGGAAGTGGTCCAGAGCTGCCCAAGGACAAATTTAAATCAGGTAGTTTTTTTTTATGGGCACAGTAGCAGCGTCACACATCGT